GGATTGATTCAGTGACTGGGGTAATCGGGATGGGTGTGTCAGAGGCAGTGAGATTGGCACAAGATAGAGCACGGTTTAGGGCTGTTGTACATAGGGTCGCTATGAGTCGCAAACGAATGCGGACTCGTTTTTGAATTTTTTTCTCCGCCTTCCCTTTGCCTTATTCTAGGCTCTATAATTTGCTTCATCTTGTCTGTCACATAGCTGGGGCCACAGAATGGGTTGAATAGTACTCAGGAAGAACACATTTCCAATGTAGAAAAGAAATAGTTGGTAGCTTTTTCTAAAAAGCAAGAAGGCATCCTAGATTATGATAAACAAATAGTTCCTGGTAAGTAGGATGAAGCCATAAAATTAAAATTCACTAATTGTGGCCTTATCGCTAAGAAATTCAACCTTAGTTAAGCAGAGTTTGGGGGATTATAGCTAATTTTAGAATTACTGTAAGCTTACCTTTTTAGAAGACTTCAAGCTATCCTGCATTTATTTAAAGGCCTTGGAATTTGTTACTAAAAATGAAGAAACATTTTAATTAGATTGCTATTGATACAAAATTAGAAAACATCTCCCTCTCCTAAATTTGCAAGTAGCATATGCTAGACATTAATGTCTTCATCTAATCTCCTTTCATTTTCAGGAAAATGCAGATAGCCTTGCACATGAAGTAAGCCTGGCAGTGTTTCAGCTGGCTGGAGGAATTGGAGAAAGGCCCCAGCCAGGTTTCTGAAGATGACTTTTATATTCCTGAGAAACTGGATTTTTTTTAAAAAGGGATACGTGACAGATATGAAGATTTAAAGCAAGAATGTTTACACTGTACCATAATGCATTGTTTTTAAATCGGATCCTTATACACTACTAGAGTAAAACACTACTGGAATAACTCTTTAGTAATAGGTGAACTTTATACTTCATTTAAAAGCAGCCTAAGGGCCCATCAACAAACACATGGATAGAGAAGCTGTGGTATATCCACACAATGGAATACTACGCAGCATTGAAAAACAAGGAACTCATGCAATATTATTCAAAGTGGGTGACC